TAGTCCCTTAGAACTTACAGATATTGGTTCTGTGGCAACGCGCGCAAAGTTCCGTTCAGAGCTCAAGTTTACCGACAACGGGTGTTGGAGGATTCTCTGAGTGGTGCCAAGATTGGTGCAGTCATATCAGACTTGTCGAAATCATGAGTTTTAGGCATGCCCCAGAACATCCCAGCACCACATTCCATGCTAGTAGTAAATGGCCGACATTGTTGAATTCAGTAAATATATAGATTCTATACATAGATTCTCCGAGTATAAAGGTCTGCAACAGGGTAAACATTCCTCAACCTGACTGCCTGTGATGCCCGCAAAAGCCAAGCAGCCCATTGCTCGTCAAAGCCAGAACAAACATGATGACTTGAGTCATGATAGCCAGACAGCTTCCGGTCCTGCAGTCATACTACCACGGATCTGCCACAAGATGCTAAACGCTCTATTTCTCGTGAAAAGGAGGAAAAAACAAACTATGACTTCAAGGAGTGCGATGTGCCTGGCTCACACCACGGACATTGTCGAAGAAAGGCCTCAGAACGTGTAGTTTTCACATTTCCACAACTGGAGATTGCTTTGGTTTGGGTAACACGTTGTCTGTTCTGGAATTGAAAATGTGAGAAATAGAATTCTGTCTTGCTTGAATTCACTGTTTTGAGAATGGTATGATCGTGTGTGTGTGTCTGACTGGAAGCAACAGAGACACAGCAGTGCCCCCACTGCAACGGTTTTGAATGGAAAAAAACATGTTTATATTTTTGCATCCCCTATGTTTTCCAGTATAAAGACATAGACTCTAAGATATTGAGATACCCCCATCTCTGAGCTACAGCTCACAGTCTGCACGCACTGGGTGCACGACTCTGCCAACGCTGATCCAAGAAAAAGAAACCTGTTGCCATAGCAGCGATGATCTGCGAATCCGAACCCAAATCCGAACATCAAGAACGTTTCCGAACAGTTCAGGGTCAACATCGTCCAATGTCGTCCAATGTCGTCCAATGTCGTCCAATCACCCAACATTGTCCAACCTTGCCGGGCGTCCAGCCCGCTCTCAGTCCCAGACGGGAGCACTGCTGCGTGCCGCATAACATGCAACGCTCCAGGACAAGAGGCACCAATGCCTCCGTGATGAAATCCCAAAGCAACTTTGGCCTTGAGCCAGAAACCCTTCAGAGCAACTTCATAGCAACTTCTATGGGTTTCTTCTCATTTCTTTATCTCATACAAGTCCCACGTGTTGCGGTCCAGCGGTTGCATTGTACAAGCAGTAGTCTGACTTGGCCAACTTTTTGATCTTGCTTTCGATCTAATTCGGGACCCACTTTGTGGGGCAAAGAACTCAGTAGAAAAACAGAGCAATTTTGCCCATCTGTCAACCATGGTCAACCTCGAGTATGTGGTCTGAGCCACCGAGAGGCCTCTAGCACTCCGAGATAGCACTCCAAGATGCTTCAACAAAATGACATCCGCTGACCCGTTTCGATGCGTGGTTGAACGCACTGTGTGAAGCCGTGGCAAGTGTTTGCAGCTTCCAGGTGAATCTAGAGATATCCAACGATTGGTTTTGCCAGGATGCAATGTTACATGGGTACGTACATGTACAGTTGCCTTCATCTTCAACAGAATACAGCATTGCGATGCAGTAATAAGTAATATAAATACACAATATATTGCAACAAATTGCAATATATTGCAATGGCATCCTAGGGACCCTGCTTGTTTCAAGTCGCACAAATAGCCTGGCCGCAACTCTGGACCTGTGGTCAAAGACTCACTGCAAAGACACTTTCCGAATGTTGCTGTCTCACTTGAAAGATCTTGAAAGCAAAAGGAAAAGAGAAAACTGACCGAAAGTGACCGCAATGATTTCACATGATTTGACACGAAAGTCATGAAAGCAAAGTTGCAAAGAATGACTGGATCCCGGGAGAACTAATCATGTTTGCCATATGTTGCCATCTGCGTTACGACAACTGTAATTGACTGTAATGCATTTAATGCGCAAGAAATTGAGAGCCCGGATACAATCATAACAAGTCATAAAGGATCCATATCATGCCATAACAGTCACACGTTCGTGCACCTCCCGGATCTGGAACACCCACCTGTGCGCATGCGCATGCCATGTTTCATTCTGTCAAAGTACAGGTGGAACTCGGTGCCAACAAGTCATTCATCCAATAGAACAGAGAGAACATCATCTGTACCGTAATCAAATTAAACAAGCAGCAATAATTCTAAGTTAGGACATATGCATTCTCACTGTCACACATTAACTGAATCACACAACTCCATCATTTATCCTCACTCATTCACTCACCCTCGAACTACATACTCAAACCACTGATTCACCCGTGCAGCATCTCACTCACTTCGGTTCTGCTCTCACTCTCAACAAGTCAGCAACTCACTCTTACTCTAGGTCAGTCTGTCAGTTTGTCAGTCGAGCACTCGCCAAATCACTCACACCATGTATGCACTGGCTTGCTCATCTTACTCACTG